GGCGGCGGCGGCCAGAACGAGGCCAGCTGCGGTCCTGCGTCACGCCGCCGTGCGTGCTCTGGTCCCGCCCCCGGCGCCGGGAGCCGTGGGCGGCTCGGGCTGCGCGGCCGCGCCCCCTTCTCCGCCTCCCGCAGCTGTTCCTCGGGCTGCGTCAGTTTCTGCGTCTCTCCCTGACAGTTGGCGCGGTACCTGACTCAGAAACCTCTCTCCAGTCTCCCGTGCCTCCCCGCTTCCACTTCTCCATCGCAGCTGTCTCTGTTCTTACCTGCGCACTGTTCTGACGGTCTTCTCACCGCCTTCTGCCAAGTGATCGATTTATAAACCCTTATCTGAATGTGTCACTCCCGTGGTTAAAATGTTAAATGGCTTCTTCCCCTTTATCCTTTCAGAATAAAGTCCAAGCTCACTAACGAACCAATCCACTATTTGTACAGTTGAATAATCTTTTTTAAAATGTAAATCTGATCCCCCATTTAAAACCTTCAATGGCTTCCTAAAACTGTTATGACTGCTATGACTAAGTATTCTTAAGTGTTTTACAAATCTGACTACTTCCCCAATCTTCATTAGCAACATTGTCTCCTCAAATATTCTAAACTCCAGGCTGTCTAAATAAAGTACTTCTGGTTATCTTAGAAGACTGTTCCCACTGGCTGAGGCCTTTAGGCATATTGTTTTTCTTTTTTTTTAAGATTTTATTTATTTATTTGACAGAGAGAGACAGCAAGAGAGGGAACACAAGCAGGGGGAGTGGGAGAGGGAGAAGCAGGCTTCCCGCAGAGCAGGGAGCCAGATGCGGCTGGATCCCAGGACCCTGGGATCATGACCTGAGCCCAAGGCAGACGGTGAAGAACTGAGCAACCCAGGCCACCCACGCATATTGTTTTTCTGACCCTAGCTCACTTCTTCACTCCAGACCTTCTACCTCTCATCAGGCTAACCATTATTCCCACTTATCCTTTCTACATTCATCTTTGTTTCCTCTAACCCTCTAGTCTGGGTTAGTCACCTCTGTGCTCTTAGTCCCTGAGCCTTTCTCTGTCACAACCTAATCAAGCTGAATCATCTGTCCCTCCTCTGTGCATGGCCTGACACATTGCCTAAGGTAGAGTAGGATTTCTTGGTTGAATGAACAAAGAGCCCAAGAAGCAATGTGTGGGAAGGAAGGAAACAAGAAAGATGAGAATGCTCTCAGAAGACAAGAAGTGGGTCTTGACTCCCTTTCTTTTATTCACCATTTACTGATTATTTTTCTCCCCTCACAAGATCCTATGCTAGGCACTAGGGAAACTGGTTTACCAGATCTGGCTTGTCTCTGTTGGAGCCCAGAGTCCAGCTGGGAATACAAGTAAACAGATGAGTTCCTCTTCTCCTCCCCGCCAAAGGTTTTTAGAGAGCCCTAAGGAGAGTGATTAGACCATTTGGGTGAGGATCAGAAACCATTCTTGGAGGTAGGACTCTGTTAAACTGGTATGGGCATGAGTACTCTAACTGTGGAGTCCCTATTCTACAAAATTACTTACTTAAATGGACTCATATCCCATATTAAATATGGGATATGCTGCATTCTCTCTTCCTCAAGACTTAGCTTCCTTCCCATTAATATCTCCCACCTAAATATGGGATCCTTTATGCCATGTTTGTATCAGAATCTTTCATACATCCTCAAGAATCATTACTTAATTCTCCAGCTTGAAAAGTAAAATCATTGGATTCCCTGGGAGAAAAATTTCAGGCATTTGGCTCTCCCCGCCCCCCCCCCCCGTTGCCATTTTCCTTGTCTCCTCTGAACTCTTACAACAGCTTCTTAATAAAGCCTTTGCTTCTATACCATGAAACCATTCTCCACACTACTGCCATGAAAAATGTAATCAGAGAGCTTTCATAGACTTGTGGTTCAGAAATTTAGCATGGCATTAAGGCCTTGCACCATTTGGTCCCATCTTCATGTCCCATGTGACTCCAACTCCAACCAGGCATCCTACACTCCAGCCATTTTCACACTACTTGCTATGCACTCAATTTTCACTATGCTTTTCCACCTTTGACCTTTTGCCATGCTGTTTCCTTCTGTTGAATTCCATCCATCTTTTAAGACCCTCCTTAAAAACTACTTTCTTCATGTAGCTGTCCTCGATTTCACTTTATTGGAACATGTGTAACAATAGAAAATAAATGGGATCTATTATTGTATTATATATAACTGTGTAATATATGAATATTTTAACACAATTTTAAATATGTAATCATAACTGACATTTATTAGCCTGAGCCAGACATGTAAGAGCCCAGAAAGGGATATATTGGTATTCCCATTTTGCAAGAATAGAAACATGGATTCACATGGATTCAGGGCTAAAGCCAGGATTTTAATCATGTACCAGTTGCCATTGTTAGGTATGAAAAAGGACTACAACTTTTTTCGTCCTGGTATTTCTCAGTATGTAAAAACAAGGGAATGGGGAAGACATCTTAAATGCCTTTGGCATCCACATGTAAGGAAGTAGCTATTCAATGATCTTTCTTCCTAACTCAGCTTTAGAAAGGAGCTCTTGGAGAGTGCCCTGTAGACCAGAGTGTGACCTAATCACAAAACATAATTTAAAATCGAAAATAGTAATAATCAGGACTACTGCAGTGACAAAGACTCTCCTTGACCTAACTCTAGTCAGCCTCCTCTAAGGTCCTCAAGGCCGTAAACTTGAGTTCTGTCCTAGGGCTACTTATTCCAGTTTTAGCAAAAATCTGAGTCAGTTTAACCCCACCCTTGTATCTGACAACCTTAGCCAGCCTTCAGCAAAAATCCTATCAAGGAGGTTTAGCCAGAATTCCTCTTAGCCCTGATGTTTCCTCTTAGTAATTTTCTATCCACTGATCCCACCCTGTTCCTTGCCCATAAATCCACACTTGTCCTTTTGTATTCAGAGTAGAGTCCATAGATTTATTTGGTAGACAAGTTTTAGGTTCATATCAATATTGAGCAGAAGGTACAAAGATTTACTATATACAGCCTGCCCCTACACATGCATAGCCTCCCGCATTTCAACATCCTGCACCAGAGTGGTATATTTGTTACAACTGATGAGCCTACAATGACCCATGACTAACACACAAAATCCTTGCTTATGTTAGGGTTCACTCTTGCTGTTGTACATTCTATGGGTTTGGACAAATTTATAATGATGTGTATCCACCATTATAGCATATACAGAATAGTTTCACTGATCTAAGAATCTGTGCTCCACCTTCATCCCTCTCTTGCCCCTAAAAGTCATTGATTCTTTACTGTCGCCATGGTTTTACCTTTTTCAAAATGTCATATAGTTGGAACCATACAGCATGGAGCCTTTTCAGATTGTCTTCTTTCACTTAGTAATATACCATTAAGGTTCTTCCTTGTCTGTCCATGACTTGATAACTCATTTCTTTTTTGCACTGAATAATATTCCACTCCCTGAATGTCCCACAGTTTACACTGAAGAACATTTTACTTACTTCCAAGTTTTGGCAATTATGAATAAAACTGCTATAAACATCCATGCACAGGGTTTTCTTTTCCAATTTTTTTATTGTGGTAAAAAACACTTAACCTAAAATTTACCACCTTAACCATTTTTTTTAAAAGTAGGCTCCACACCCAGCATGGAGCCCAACGTGGGCTTGAACCCACAACCATGAGATCAAGACCTGAGCTGAGATCAAGATCAGATGCCTAACTGACTAAGCCAGGCAGGCATTCTTCACCTTAACCATTTCTAAGCATACAGTTCAGTGGAATTAAATACATTCATAATATTGTGCAACCATTACCACCATCCATCTCCAGATCTTTATTCATCTTGTAAAACCAAAACTATCCATTAAACAATAACTTCCATTCTCCTCTCTCTCCAGCCACTAGCAACCACCATTCTGTCTCTATGATTTTTAACTAAGTATCTTACAGTATTTGTCCTTTGGTGACTGGCCTCAAGGTTCATCCATGTTGTATCATATTACAGGATTTCCTCCCTCTTTAAGGCTGAATAATATTCCATTGTATGTGTATACCACACTTTGCTTATCCATTCATCCATTGATGGGCACAGGTTTCTTCTATGTTTTAGTTATTATGAATCATGCTGCTATGAACATGGGCATACAAATGTCTCTTTGAGACCCTGATTTCAATTCTTTAGTCATATACCCAGAAGTGGAACTGCTGGATCACATGGTAATTCTGTTTAATTTTCTGAGGAACTGCGACACTGTTTTCCACAGAAGCTGTACCATTTTACATTCCCGCAGAAGTGTGTCTGCAAGTTTTTGTGTAGACATAAGTTTTCAACTAATTCTGGCAAATACCAAAGAGCACAATTGCTGGATTGTATGTTAAGAATATGTTCAGTTTTGTAAGAAACTACCAAGTTGTCTTCCAAAGTGGCCGTGCCATTTTGCATCTCCTCCAGCAATGAATAAGAGTTCCTGTTTCTCCATATCTTCCCCAGAATTGAGTTTTGGCCATACTAACAGGTGTATAGTGATAAACTCATTTAATTTCCATTTATCTGAAATTTTCCTTTCACATGCTTATTTGCTTATTTGCCATCTGTATATTTTAATTGGTGAGGTTTCTGTTTTTTTTTTTTTAAAGAGGGTTGTTTATATTGTTGTTGAGTTTTAAGAGTTCTTTATATATCTTACAGAACTGTCCTTTATCAGATATGTCTTTTATAACATTTCCTTCAAGTCTATGGCTTGTCTTTTCATCCTTTTGACCCTTTCATACAGCAGAAATTTTTAAATTTAATTAAACTCAGCTTATCTATTTTCTTTCATGTATTGTGCCATGCTTTGTATCTAAAAAGTCATTGCAAAACCTAATGTCATGTAGATTTTCTTCTATGCTGTCTTCTAGGGGTTTTATGTATTTGCATTTTACATTTAGATGTGATCCATTTTGAGTTAATTTTTGTGAAGTGTGTAAGGTCTGCATCTAGATTCATTTTTTTGCACATGGGTGTGTAGCCATTCTAGTACATTTGTTGAAAAGACTATCTTTTCTCCATTGTATTACTTGCCTTTGCTCCTTTGTTAAAGATCAATTGACTGTATTTGTGTGGGACTATCTGGACTCTATGCTGTTCTACTGATCTATTTGTCCATTCTTTTACCAATACCATACTGTCTTGATTACTATAGCCTTATAGTAAGCCTTGAAGTAGGGTAGCATCAGTCCTCCAACTTTGTTCTTCTTCAATAATCTGTTGGTTATTCTGAATCTTTTGCCTCTCCATAAAAATGGAGAATCGGGTGTTGATATCCATAAAATAACTTGCTGGGATTTTGTTTGAGATTGCCTTGAATCTATAGATCAAGTTGGAAAGAACTGACATCTTAACAATATTGAGTCTTCCTATTCATGTACATGGACTATCTCTCCATTTATTAAAAAAATTTTTTTAAGATTTTATTTATTTATTACGCAGAGAGACACTGTGAGAGAGGGAACACAAGCAGGGGGAGTGGAAGAGGGAGAAGTAGGCTTCCCGCGGAATAGGGAGCCCAATGTGGGGCTCTATCCCAGGACCCTGGGATCATGACCTGAATCAAAGGCAGACACTCAACGATTGAGCCACCCAGGTGCCCCTTTCCATTTATTTAGTTCTTATTTGATTTCATTCATCAGAATTTTGTAGTTTTCCTCAAATAGGTCTTCTACATATTTTGTTAACTTTATACATAAGTATTTCATTTTGGGGAGTGGCTAATGTAAATGGTATTTCAATTTGACTTTCAAATTCCCCCTGTTTATTGCTGGTATATACAGGAAAGCAACTGACTTTTGCATATTAGTCTTGTATCCTGCCATCTTGCTATAATGACTTATTAGTTTCAAGAGTTCTCTGGTTCATTCTTTTGGATTTTTTTACATAAATGATCATGTCATCTATGAACAAAGTCAGACTTATTTCTTCCTTCTCAGTCTGTATATCTTTGATTCCTTCTCTTGTTTTATTGCATTATCTAGGACTTCCAGTATGATATTAAAAAGCAGTGGTGAGAGGGTACTTACCATATTCCTTATTTTAGTGAAAAGCTTTGAATTTCTCACCATTTAGTATGATGCTAGCTGTAGGGTTTTTTGTAGATAGTTTTTATCAATCTGAGGAAATTCCCCTCTATTCCTAGTTTACTGAGAGTATCATGTATGAGTGTTGGATTTTGTCAAATGCTTTTTCTGTGCCTATTGATATGATCATGGGATTTTTCTTCCATTAGCCTGTTGATGTGCTGAATTACATTAATTGATTTTCAGTTGTTGAACCAGCCTTGCATACCTGGGGTAAATCTCACTTGGTATATAATTCTTTTCATATTGTTAGATTCTATTTGCTAATTTTTTTTTTGCTAACTTTTGAGGATTTTTTGCATCTATGTTCATGAGAAATATTGGTCAGTAGTTTTATTTTCTTATAATCTCTTTGTCTGGTTTTGGTATTAGGGTAATGCTTGCCTCATAAAATGGGTTAGGAAGTATTCTCTCTGCTCTATGTTCTGAAAGAAATTGTAGAGAATTGGCATAATTTCTTCCTTAAATGTTTGAAAGATTTCACCAGTGTACCTACCTGGGCCTGATCTTTCTGTTTTGGAACATTATTAATTGTTGATTCAATTTCTTAAATAGGTTTATTCATATTTTTAATTCTTCTAGTGTGAGTTTTGGCAGATTGAGTATTTCAAGGAATTGGTCAATTTCACCTATGCCATCAAATTCATGGGCATAGAATCGTTTGTGGTATTACTTTACTATTCTGTTAATGTCCATGGGACCTGTAGTGATGGCCTTTCTTTCATTTCTGATGTTAGGAATTTGTGTCCTCTCCCTTTTTAACTTAGTTAGCCTGGCTAGAGGCTTGTTGATTTTATTGATCTTTTCAAAGAACCAGCTTTTGGTTTGATTTTCTCTATTCATTTCCTGTTTTCAATTTCATAAATTTCTGCTCTAATTTTTATTATCCCTTTTCTTCTATTTACTTTGAATTTAATTTGCTCTTCTTTTTCTAGTTTCCTAAAATGGAAGCTTAGGTGACTGATTTTAGCTCTTTCTTCTCTTCTTTTCTAATATAGGCATTCAATGCTATAAATTTCCCTCTAAGCACTGCTTTTGCTCCATCCTACAAATTTTGTTAAGTTCTCTTTTCATTTTTATTTAGTTCAAAATATTGTTTAATTTCTCTTGAGATTTCTTTTTTGACCCATGTGTTAGTTAGAAGTGTGTTGTTTAATCACTAAGTATTTTGGGATTTTCTAGCTATCTTTCTGTTACTGATTTCTAGTTTACTTCAATTATGGTCTAGAGCAGACATTGTATGATTTCTATTCTTTTAAATTTTGTAAGGCATGTTTTATAGCCCAGAATGTGGTCTATTTTGGTAAATGTTTCGTGTGACCTGAGAAGAATGTATATTCTGGTGTTCTTGGATAAAGTAGTCTATAGATATCCATTATACCCAGTTGATTGATGTTGCCATTGAGTTCAATTATATCCTTACAGACTTTAAACCTGTTGGATTTGCCCATTTATGATAGAGTGGAACCAGATATTAAAGAGATATTGCAGGGGTGCCTAGGTGGCTCAGTCAGTTAAGGGTCTGCCTTCAGCTCAGGTGTTGATCCTGGAGTCCCGGTATCAAGTCCCAGATTGAGTTCCAGGATCGAGTCCCACATCAGGCACCCTGCTCAGCTTCTCCCTCCGACCTTCCCCCCTCTCGTGCTCTCTCTCTGTCTTTCAAATAAATAGGTAAAATCTTTAAGAAAAAATAAAGAGATATTGCAAAAATAAAATGTTATTTATGCTAACATATAAGGGGCTTGATATTGTTATTTTTAAATGAATTAAATATTTTTTTATATTTCTCAGTTTTCTTTTCTTTGTTTTAAAGATTTTATTTATTGGAGAGAAAGAGAGAGCAAGAGAAAGAGAGAGCATGAGCAGTGGGGAAGGGTAGAGGGAGAGGAGAAGCTGAGCAGGGAGTCTGACACTGGGCTCCATTCCAGGACCCCAGGATCATGACCTGAGCCAAAGGCAGACGCTTTACTCACTGAGCCACCCAGACGCCCCTCAGTTTTATTTCCTAACATGATGTATACTGATAGATATAATTTATATAAACCAAAGCTCATTGGAGTCCTCAATAATTTTTAAGAGCATATAGGGGTCCTAAAACAAAAAGTTTGAGAATTGCTAGTCTAAAGCCTTCCCACTCAAATGTGATCCATAGATCACCACTACCTGATTTACCTAGGAGCTTATTAGAAATGCAAAGTCTCAGACCCTACCTAAGACTGAGTAAATGAATGTACATTTTACCACGATCCTCAGATTTATATGCACATTAAAGTTTAAGGAAAACTTGACCCAGGAAGGTTAAAAGGTCTTCTTGACACTTGAGCTTTGTAGGATGGCTGGGAGCAGCTGGGGAGGACTGAAGACAAGGACTCAAGCAGAAGGGAAAGCTTAGATGAAGGCATAGTGGACAGAAATAGGAAAACTGCAAATAGAACATATCTAGATTTTTGTAATTTTTTTTCCAATTTTTTTTATTGTGGTAAAATACACATAAAATTTACCATCTTAACCATTTTTAAGTATACAGTTCAGTGGTTATTAAATACATTAATAGTGCTGTGCAATCATCACCACAATTCATCTCCATAACTCTTCTATTCTTTTTAGAATTATGTTAAAATACATATAATATAAAGTTTACCATCGTAACCATTTTTAAGGGTACACTTTAGTGGTATTAAATACATTCACATTGTTTTGCAGCCATCACCACAATCCATCCCCATAACTCTTTTCATTTTGTAAAATCAAAACTCTATACCTATTAAACAGTAACTCCCCAGTTATTGCTGTGCACAAGGGTTCCAGTTTCTCCTCATCATTGCCAACACTCGTTTTCTGTTTTCCTGATAATAGCCATCCTAATAACTGTTAGGTGATATCTCATCGTAGCTTTGATTTGCATTTCCTGAATGATAAGTGATGCTGAGTATCTTTTCATGTGCTTAATGGCCATTCCTTTTCTTTGGAGAAATGTACTCAAGTCTTTTGCCTACTTTCAATCATATTGTTTTGTTTTTGTTGTTGACTTTCAGGAGTTCTCTATATATTCTGATTCTTAATCCCTTATCAGCTATATGATTTGCAAATATTTTCTCCCATTCTGTAGGTTTCCTTTTATGCAATTTAATTTAAAAAATTTAAAAATTTAAAAAAATTTTAATTTTCATGAAGTCCAATTTGTTTATTTTTTCTTTTGTTACCTGTAATTAGTGTCATAGCTAAGATATCATTGCTGAGTCCAATGTTGTGAAGTTTTAGCACATGTTTTCTTTCAAGAATTTTTAAAATTTAGGTCTGATCCATTTTGAGTTAGTTTTTTTTTTTAATATGGTGTTAGCTAAAGGTCCAAATTCATTATTTTGCTTATGTATACCATTTTTCCCAACATCATTTCTTGAAAAGACTGTCCTTCCCCATTGAATGGTCTAGGCACCCTTTTCAAAAATCATTTGATCATATTATGTGAGGCTTTATTTCTGGGATCTCTATTCTACTCCATTGGTCTATATGTCTGTCTTTACGCCAGTACCACACTGTTTTAATTTTTGTTTTGTAAGTTTTGAAATCAGGAAGTGTGAGTTCCCCAGTTCTTCTTTTTCAAGATTTTTTCGGCTATTTGGGGTCCCTTGTGATTCCATATGAATTTTAAAATGTTTTTTTCTATTTTTATATAAAACTGTAATTGGCATTTTGATAGGGTTTGCATTGACTCTGTAGATTGCTTTGGGTAATATGGACATTTAACGATACTAAATCTTCCATTCCATTCCATGATATGTTTCCATTTATTTATGTCTTCTTTAATTTCTCTTAGCAATGTTTTGTAAGGTTCATGTACTAGTCTTTCATCTCCCTGGTTAATTCCTAAATATTTTATTCTTTTTGATGCTATTACAAAAAAATTGTTTTTGTAATTTCCTTTTCAAATTGTTCATTGTTAATGCAGGTGACCCCTGAAGAGCACAGGGGTTAGGACTGCTGACCCATGTGGTTGAAAATGCATATATAACTTTGACTCCCCCCAAATTTAACTACTAATAGCCTACTGACCAGAAGGCTTACCAATAAAATAAACAGTCAACACATATTTTTGTATGTTACATGTATTTTATACTGTATTTTTACAATAAAGTAAGCTAGAGAAAGCAAAATATTATTAAGAAAATCATAAGGAAGAAAAAATAAATACTGATAGTACTGTACTATAAAAAATCCATGTATAAATGGACCCATTCAGTTCAAACCCATGTTGTTCAAGGGTCAAATGTATATAAAAAATGCAACTGATTTTTGTGTTGACTTTGTTTCCTGCTACTTTGCTGAGTTTATTAATTAGTTCTAATATGTTTTCTTTGGTGCGTGGGTTCTTTAGGGTTTTCTATGTATAAGATTATATCATCTGCAAATAGAAATAATTCTACTTCATCCTTTCCAATTTCCCGATGTCTTTCTTTTTTCTGCCTACTTGCTCTGGCTAGATCTTCCAGTACTATGTTGAATAGAAGTGGTAAAAGTGGGCATCCTTACCTTTTCTGAGGAAAAGCTTTCAGTCTTTTACCATGGAATATGATATTCACTGTGGGTTTTTCATACATGGCTTTTATTATGTTGAGGTCATTTCCTACTATTCGTAGTTTTCAGAATGTTTTTATCATGAAAGTTTGTTGAATTTTGTCAAATGCTTTTTCTGTATCAGTTGAGATGATCATGTGGGTTTTTTTCCTTCATTCCATTAATGTGACATATTATATTGATTGCTTTTTCATATTGAAAAATCCTTACATTCTAGGGATAAATTACACTTGATTGTGGTGCATAATCCTTTTATGTGCTGCTGACTTTGGTTTGCTGGTATTTTGTAGAGGATTTTTGCATCAATGTTCATAAGGCATTGGTCTATAGTTTTCTCGTAATGTCTTTTTCTGGCTTTGGTATCAGGGTAATGCTGGCCTTACAAAATGAGTTAGGAATTGTTATCTCCTCTTCAGTTTTTTGCAAAACTCTGAGAAGGATTGGCATTAGTTCTTTAATGTTTGGTAGAAATCACTAGTGAAGCCATCAGGCAGGCCCAGGGCTTTCTTTCTAGGAAGATTTTTTATTGTGAGTTCAATCTCCTTACTAGTTATAGGTCTATTCAGATTTTCTGTTTCTTCACAATTTAGTCTTGGTAGGTTTTTTTTTTTCTAGTAATTTGTCCATTTCATCTAGATTATTCAATTTTTTGATATGCACTTGCTAATAAAACTCTCATAATCCTTGTTATGTCTGTAGAATCAGTAGTTATGTTGCCACTTTCATTTCTGATTTTAGTAATTTGAGTCTTCTCTCTTTTTCCTTAGTCATCTAATGAGAGTTTTGTCAATTTTGTTGATCTTCTAGTTTCATTTAAACTTCTGGTTTCATTGACTTTTTTTTCTATTGTTTTTGTATTCTCTATTTCATTTATCTGTGATCTATATTATTTCCTTTTTTCTGTTAGCTTTGGGCTTAGTTTGTTCTTCTTTTTCTAGTTCCTTAAATTGCAAGGTTAGTTTGTTGATTTGAGATCTTTCTTGTTTTTTAATGTGTTTATAGCTATAAATTTCCCCCTTAACACTGCTTTTGCTGAGTTCCATAAGTCTTGGTATATTGTGTTTTCGTTTGTCATTCATCTCAAAGTATTTCCTAATTTCCTTTGTGATTTCTTCTTTAAACTATTGTTTGTTTAAAAGTATGTTGTTTAATAAACACAATTTTGTGAACCTTGCAATTTTCCTTCTGTTATTTATTTCTAGTTTCATCCCATAGAAGATACTTTGCATAATATTTATATTTTTAAATCTATTGAGACTTAATTTGTGGCCTAATATATGGTCTACCCTAAAAAATGTCCCATATGCACTTAAGAAGAATATGTATGCTGTTGTTGTTGAGTAGAGTATTCTGTATATGTTTGTTAGAGGAGTTGGTTTATTGTATTAAGTCTTTTATTTTCTTACTTATCTTCTGTCTGTTATTTCCTTCCTTTCATCTTCTGGAATGGTAGTCCTAGTCATTATCATGAGTAGGGTATTGAAGTCTTCAACCATATAGAATTGTCTATTTTTCCCTTCAATTCTGTCAGGGGGAAAAGAGAAAAATGAAGGAGCAGCAAAAAAGGGGCACCAACACTTTAAATTCCCTGGAAGTCACTAGTTAGAGGGGGAGGGGCTTGCAACAACTGGAAGGTGCAACAATAATGGCTGCCCACCTCTTTGTCTGTACCTCTGTGATCAGAAGCAGCAAACAGCAATCAGAGCACAGATCCCCAGTATTTGGAGGACAGAGTTCCTTTTGCTCACCCTGGCTTGTACAAGCTGCTGGTGGTCAAGCTGCTCCAGAAACTTGTGCACAGTAGCCTGCCACTGGGGGTGGAGGTTGGACAGCTGCTACTGTGCTGAGTTGAAATTGACTGAAATTCACCACAATTTATCTTCCAAATCTTCCCCTAGAAGTTATAAGCAAGGCATCAATAAACTCTAGAATTCCAAATACATAGTTATATGAGGCAGATTCTGCTCTGCAGTTGTTGTCTAGGTGGGGAGACAGAATCTTGGCACTTCTAACTTTGCCACCTTTCCAGAATACTCTCTTGGTAACATTTTGCCCTCTAAAAAATAAATTATGGTGATTACAATATCTTTACATTAAAAACCAGGAGCTAATATATATATATTAACTGAAGGACAATCTTGGAAACAATGATCTAAATATTTGATCATAGGAAAATGACTAAATAATCATATACTCACTTTAAGATGTATTCTCTAAAATTGTCATTCTCTACAACATTATTCTCTAGTCCCTTGCCTTACTTTGTTTTTCTTTATAGCACCTGATATTTTACTATGTATATATTGTTCATTGTATGTATCTGTCACTAGAATTAAGACCATAGGGTAAAGTCTTTGTCATTTTCACTACTGAATCCTCAGCATCTAAAATAGAACCTGGCAAATTATAGGAACTATGTAAATATTTTTTGAATATATGCATAAATGAAGCATGAAAAGTTCTTGGGAAATACGATTTGGTAAAAAATACAGAAAATTAAATGTTTTCTCTCATTAAAACAATGAAAAAATGACAAAAATGACAAGACAGAGTTTGGAATTTAGGAACTTGGAGACAATGGTCACCAAGGTAATGTGGAGAAATGGAAATGATATTCTGCTAGGAGACAAGGTTGTAGGCAATGTTTCCTCTCTCTCTTTCTCTTTATTCCTAGTATTAGTGTTTCAAAATGGTTTGTGCTATGAAAAAAAAACTTTAAAAATTCTTTTCCTGAGGCGGGCACAAGTATGGATAGAATATTATACTTGCCACCCTTATTCTTGACAAATGGAGCTATATATTCCAGAGTGGGAAAGAATAGTCCTTGGAGCTTTCAGAGAGGATAATAAGCACTGAGAAGGAGGATGATTGCTTAGTGTTTGAATAGTAAGTCACATGATACATTAGAATCAAGGGATGTGGGGAGAAGGAAGTAAGAACTAGCTTCTGGGTCTGTGTCCACAGGCTCTGTTCTGAATTTAACAATGGAACACCAATAATCAGGCAAGGCCAGAACACAGAGTTTCACATCTTATACATGTCACAAAGATGCTCAAGCCAGGAAACAAGTGACAACTAAAATTCAGACCTTACTCTACTTTCTGAGCCACTGAAGCCTGGTGTAGGACTGTATCTGCCCAGAAGATGTACTTTTTTCTAATTTTCACAAAGGCGTCACAGAGGATAGGTAGTGGAATGGGCCACTGACTTAGTGTGCTGGAGTCTGATGCCAAGTAAAATAACCTCTTAGTTGTACCACATCAATCTCTACTCTAAATAAGTAGTAGGGTCAGGCTCAATGTGTAGTTTTCAAATAACCCATGAAAAGCATGTGATTAGTATTCATCACATACAGTCTGTTACCCAGACTTGCACACATGCTGAAATAAGTTTATATGCTGGATGTAAATATAGAACACTAAATGGCCTACTTTCTTCTAAGCCTACTGCCATGATTTAATGAAGAAATTGGGGTGGAAGGCTTGCATATGGGAACATAGAAAGAAAAGCTTTGGAGTTACAACTCTTGGATTCATCAACTGGAAAAACATTAAGTTGAAGTCTCCAATCACTTTCTCCTTATATCTCTCTGACTGCCTTAGGAAAAGACATTAAATAATTTCTGAGTGGTTTGTATTTCTCACATCCTCTACAACAACCATGTGAACTCAATGTTTCCCAAACATACTGTGCTCTCTCACCCTGCCTCCCCTTGGCCCATGCCTAGAAAGTCTTTCATTGTCTCCTCAGCAAATTCTCCTCAGCAAATTCTTTGATGCTCCTCCTATTAAGAGATGGTGTCTATATCCTTTCTACCTGTATCTGAGTAGAGACTCTGGTACTGTTTTAACTAATAAAATATGGCAGAAATAACAGTGCTGGTTTCAAAGCCTGGGACTTAAAAAACTGGAAGTGTTCATTTCCTATCCCTTGGAACATTGCCCCTTGGAGTTCTTGGGTGTCAGGTAAGATGTTTGACATCCTTCTGGAGGGACCTCATGGACAGGCTTTGATACCACATGTAGAGAGAAGGGCCTGACTGAGCCTAGCTTCTGTGTAAAGGAGGTGGACTTAGCTGAACCCAGTCTTCCAGTTGTCCCTGCCAATGCATCAGTCATGTGAGTGAAGCTAGGATCCTCTAGACTAGCCAAACTTCCAGCTGAAGAACATCCACTGACTCCATTTAACTCCATGTGGAGAAGAAGAATCAATTGGTCATCCAAGCTTATGCCAAATATTAACTCACAAAATTAAGATACATAATGATTTTTTTAAAAAAGCTATTAAGTCCAACAACTGATAACCAGAACAGAAGCTGATACCTGGAAATGGGGTACTTCCATAACACAAAACCCAAGACATTGGATATTGACTTTGAGACTAGGCAATGGGTAGAGACTTGAAGGGCCTTGAGGAAATCTGTTAATGAAACTTGGAATGGGTTGGAGAAGACTGTTGGTGAAGACTTACAGAACAGTCAAGAAATTGTGTTTGGAAGCTGGAGGAAGATTTGGCAAATGGTCATTTATAGTAACATGGAAAATAGAAAGATACCTAATGAACTTGAGGATCTGACTGGTGATTTGCCAGGCAGAAAGTACAAAGCATTAACTAGCTTTTTCTAGCTATCCATGATAAAATATGAGAAGAGAGAGGTAAACTAAAGAAGGGCCCAGGGTAGTATTTCTAGCCTATTTCCAGCACAAGGATCTCAAAGGAATAAATGGCCTCTTGTTACAGGTCAAATCCAAGGTGCTGTCAGCAAAATAAGGTCACAGGGTAAAAACAAATCAAGGGTGCAACTGTAAAATCTTTTTTTTTTTAAGATTTTATTTATTTATTTGACAGAGAGAAAGAGCACAAGCTTGGGGGGGAGGAGGCAGAGGGAGAAGCAGCCTCTCCACTGAGCAGAGACCCTGATGCAGCACTTGATCCCAGGACCCTGGGATCATGACCTGAGCTGAAGGCAGACTTTAACCGACTGAGCCACCCACGCGTCCCTGTAAAATCTTTTAAAACCTCAGAAAGATTTAAGGCTCTATCTTATAGATCCTTTATAAAATGTTCTTAGGGGTAAAAAAAAATTATTTCTGGGCACCTGGGTGGCTCAGTTGGTTAAGCTACTGCCTTCGGCTCAGGTCACGATCCTGGAGTCCCAAGATCGAGTCCTGCATCGGGCTCCCTGCTCAGCAGGGAGTCTGCTTCTCCCTCTGACCCTCCCCCCTCTCATGCTCTCTCTATCTCATTCTCTCTCTCAAATAAATAAAATCTTTTTTTAAAAAAAAATTATTTCTAAGAATCTTAATGCTGTGCCTCATTGCCCCTCAATGTTAAACAACAGGTTTTCTAAGAGTCTTAAGTGTGTCATTCCACAGCAGCTTCACAGAGCACCCAAGGTCAAGAAAGGCTCTCTGAAAGAGATTTGTGGGTGTGTTTTCTGCATAATGGGGCAGAGTATACTTTGATACACAGGAAACTCCCTGAATTTTAAAAGGATTACATTAGCTTGGCTTGAAACTGACAGAGACAACACAAAATGAAAAGAGGTCTTTGGACTCCCAGTCAGCTGTGGGCAGAGAGCAGGCTGAGAAAACTACTCAACTACAAAAATGGGTTAGTTGTTATAGAAAAAAGAGGAATGACTCAGAGGGCAAAACCAAAAGTCACAGACACTCTTATTCCCAGGGAGCAGAACCAGGCCTTAATGAAGGAACTGGCAACATGTGCCTGGCTAGATTTCAGAATATAGTAGTGACTGCTATGTGCTCCCATTCCCCCACCCACCACCACCACTGAACCAGAGTATCCGTTATAGTTATTTTATGCCTGTCACCATTATAGTTGGGTGTGTAAGGGGAAGATAACTTATCTCTTAAGTTCAGAGATCTTCAGGTTGAAAGGAACAATGCTCCAGAAGCTACAGCTGAGGAATTACATGAGGCGCTTCATCCACACCGGGAACTTATTCAGATAATGTGCTCATGGACCTTAATCCTGAGTCTGACGCTATAATGGGCTGTTTTGAGGGGTGGGTCCTTTGAGGAGGTGAATGCATTTTGCATGTGGGAAGAATATAAATAATTTGTGGTCAGAGGGCAGATGGTGACAGATTAAAGATGGCTGTAAATTCTTTGATCCTTTTACCATTGTCAAGTTTTATGTCTCCTCCTCCAGAGTCTGGGTGGGCTTTAGATTGTTTTGAGCAATAGAATACTAGAAATGACACTGTGCTAGTTTCCAAGCCCAAGTCTTAACAGACTGTTAACTTCCACTTCCTGTCTCTAGGGAACATTGTCTCTTTGAGCCCTGAGCCACCATGTACCCCGCTGGAGAGATCACACTGAGACTGTCTGTAGGGTAAGAGGGGCCCAAATGAAGCCAGCTTTCTAGCCATTCCTGTCAAGCCTTGAGGCATGTAAGTGAAGCCAAATGAATACCTTTGAGTGACCTCAGTTGACTCCATGTGGAGCAAAACAAGCAACTAACCGAGTCCTGACTGGATTCCTGATTCACAATTGTAGGAAATGATGAAATGGTTATTGATCTAAGCCACCAAACTGGGCTGCCTGGGTGGCTCAGTCGGTTAAGCAGCTGCCTTCGGCCCAGGTCTTGATCCCAGGGTTCTGGAATCGAGTCCCACATGGGGCTCCTTGCTCAGCAGGGAGCCTGCTTCTCCCTCTCTCTCCCTCTGCTTGTGCTCTCTCTGTCAAATAAATAAAATCTTTAAAAAAAAAAAAAAAGATAAGCTACCAAACTTTGGGATAGTTTGTTACACAACAGTAGATAACTGAGATCTCCATGACTTTGGGTCAATCTTTTCTCTCTAGAACTATTTCTTCAGCTTGGGCAGTGTTGGGCTCAGTTAGGTGAACCCAAAAGGCCTTAATGGTTCTG